TTCAGGGATGGAACGTTTGTGTCCATTCGTACGACATGGGCGAGCCAGCCGAGTCGCTGTATTTTCATACGCTGCACTATGTCCATGTCGTTGTAAAACTCATTCGGCTCATCGTTCCGTCGTCCTTCAGCTGAATATTTCTCTGGAACACTCCAAGCGCCACTTTACCAGATATCGTCATTGTGCATTCTATTTTTCTGAAATCTATGACTGTGAACTGTGACGTGAGTGCCGAGGCGCGAATGCGCTGATGGGTTCGATCCCTGGTCCGAGCAACATCTAAAATTAGAAAAAAAGATTTCGAACGGATGACGTCTCACGGCAGGCAATGGCAAAACCTTCGAAGGTATTTCTGCCTTGAAAAAGCTTCTCATAAAAACCGTTTGCCGTTCGGAGGCGGCGTAAAATTGTAGGTCCTTCCATTTGTGTTATAACAGCCGGACGCACAGCACAGATCGGAGGAGTTGTTCTGTCAAACACTAATGGTGTTTTCGTTTCTACCAAAAAATGTCGCCTTTTCATTGCCCCTTTCTCTTTTCGTGTTCGATTCTTAAAGTAAGTGCAAACGGTGAGACAATTTTCTATTCGCTTCCTAAAATGTCGCACTCTTGTAAGGCAATAAGGGCACATTCTCTGCCCTTTGAAGCTTTTACAGGGCAGACGGTTGCCCTGAAAATCATAGAGATTTTTGTCGGCCGTAATTTAACTTGTCTATTCTAGAGCCCACTGCTGATTTCCTTCATACCTGAGATTCTACACCGAAGTAACGTGAAATCTACGCGAAACAGCCGCTGTCATTGTCACGAGTCACAGGTTTTATTTTTTTATTTTTATTATGTTTACGAACAGAAGCATTGTCGTTATCTTTTTGTTCTTATCAAGTGACGCACTTTAGGGGCGTTGTATGCTGATTAAACATGCGAGAATGTTAAGTAAAATATTTTTCGCGTTCGCATATCGGTATGCCCGTGAAACGTTTGACTCAGAGGCGTCACAGTGCGGCAAATTAGCATCCACTGTCTGCTGTTGACTTACTGCATAACTGGCTAATAGTGTAGTTGACTGATTGGCTTGCCTGACAGATGGATGACAACCAAAATACATACATGTATACATATAATCAGCAGCGGCGTTAACGATGCTGGCTGGGCAATGCGCATTGCTCATTCATTTGCTAACCATATTTTGAGTGAGTTTGCATTGTTTTTGAAGGTACAAACATACATGCATACGTACGCATACAGGTTCATAACACGAATCGTGCATTTATCTCAGCCATGCCAAGCCAAGCCAAAAAGCAAGTAAGCTGGTTGGCAACACGCTTGTGCGTTGTGCTGCTGTGGCGACAAAGACGACCGCGTCCTCCGCGCGCGCATATCACCTGTGCTCTCGAGCATTTTATCGCATTTAATTTGCAAGGCGCACGTTATTGCTTAATTTCTTATTTTTATTTTTATACATATCATTTGCCTTTTGCTATTCCAGCGATAAACGTGTATTCGATTTTATTTGAAATATACTTGTACTTTTTTCTGTATTTATTTATTTTGTGCGATACAAGTTTGGTTTGCGTTGACGCGTCTGATGCAGCTTGGACGGCGGACAAAGCTGTTGCGGCATGAGCTGGCCGGGTTTGGCTTGGCCACATCGTACTGTCGTTGACTTTTAGCTATTTGCTATCCGCGCTGCAGTGAGCGCCGTCGGCGTAGCTATTGCGTTTTTTTTTTTATTTGTTAATTTTTGCGCTGCAATTGTGTTTATCGAAGGTGTTGTTCGCCGTTTTTTTCTTTCCAGTTTGCATTTGCTGTTGATTATTTCTTTTTGTTTTTATTTAATCGAAGCTTGGATTTGTTTATGCAAACGCGCGGCTTCATCGTCGTCGTTGTCATTGCCGCTTTCGAAGCGGAATTCCGAAAATAATTGCACATTTCGTTGCGTACGCAAGTCCAAAGCGGGTGGTCGATCAGCTAGCCAGCCAGCGGGCCAAGCCAGCTGTGCCAGCCATTCGGTATCGGCTGTCACGTTTCATTAAATAAATTGTCAATTGCAAATCGAATCGAATTTGCTGCTAATTGAATTAATTCACCTCAGCAAGCCAGTATTAATTAGCAACGAGTGGGTGCGTCCACATCGCTTACGATTCCCCAGTAAAATGAGTTGCCTGCAGCTGCATCTGCTCAACTTGGATGAACGCATTTCGCGACTACGCAAGGCACATAAGCTCGAGAAATCCAATTCGTTGCCATTAAATGCCAGATTGCAGTTGGAGCCCACGCCTAAGTCTAAGAAGAAAGTGACAGCACGACTGGAACGCGGCACTAACGTCAGCGCATCGCGCGATAGCTTAGATCGAGGCGGTGGCGACGGTAAAGGTGACGATGGCGGCGACGTGGAGCGATTACAAAACGTTGTTGAGGCCGACGCTGCCGCGGGTGAACTTGGCGTGAAGTGCGTATGCCGCTTTACATATTAATATGGCCCTCAGTTGTGCAATATTTTTTTCTACTTATCATAAGTCTTAGTTGTATTGTATTATCTATTGCATATTTATTTCATGTACTTTTCTTGATCAATTATTTGTGTGTAATTGTGTTAAATACTTTGGCATTTCCTCAATTTCTATTCTCTGCTTTTACTCATTTTTAGTGAACCGCGCACAATCACCATACAAAAGGGTCCACAAGGTTTGGGCTTCAATATCGTCGGCGGCGAAGATGGCCAGGGTATCTATGTGTCATTTATACTTGCTGGAGGGCCTGCTGACGCAGGTGGTGAGCTGAAACGTGGCGATCAGCTGTTGAGCGTAAATAATGTCAGCCTAAAGAACGCTACCCATGAAGAGGCCGCTCAGGCGTTGAAGGTGAGTTATGCTTTTGGTGGCTGGGCCCTGAAGTGTATATCGCCCATTTACTTCAATATCTAGTGTCGTAATCAAAAATTACGAAAATTTAGTTTAGTATGCAGAAATTACCGCTACCTATTATTACATGTTGTATGAACCGTTGCGAATACCCCAAATACGTATTCATTTTTATTATGGGAGTATCTGTAAATTCAAAACTTAAAGCTGTTTTTCTGGAGTTTTGCTTTTTTCAGTTATAACTCTATTGAAGTAAAAAAAACTTGCGGGCTTTCCGCCGGATTTATAAAACGTAGGTATTATAATTTAAGACTTCCGCCAAATTTTTTCGAAAAAATATTAATATTTACGTGAACTAGAGCAATTTGAAAATACCTCCCAAAATCTTATTATTTCGACTCCATTAATATTTTTTATTTTATTTTATTCAAACCTTTTAATTTAAACTCTTGTATCATTTTAGATGATGTTTTAGAAAAAATATTTTTCAAAACAATTTTTTTTTATAAAAAACGCGATTTTTGGAAGTATTTTCATTTTTCGAAATTTTTTGGCGGAAGTCTTGACATACAGTGGTGGAAAAATAAATACGGACACGAAATTTTAACAAATTTTTCCTATTTTTCTTTTGTTTATTTAATATTAATTATTTCTTTTATAAAAGTATAGCTCATTATCCAACAAAAACCCTATAAATTCATATTTCAAACTTTGTGCAAAAATTATACAAATTCTGCAAAATTGCATCTAAATAACTTTTTAATCAGATTTTTTATTTTTTTTTTGTGTATGCAGTTTTATAGCCCATTAAAGTTTAGTAGAATAAAGCGCAAGTTTAAAATTCGTAAAAAATCGCGTTAGTTTTTGATAATTTTTATTATTTTCCATACAAAAAAACAATGTCGAACATACTTTGTATGGGAGAAAACGCGTTGAAAAAAATCCAAAAGTTAACGCGATTTTTTACCAACTTAAAACTTACACTTCATTCTACTAAAATTTAGTGGGCTATTAAACTACATACTCAAAAATATTCTAAAAAATGGGGTTGAAAAAGTTGAAAATTTAGATGCAATTTTGCAGAATTTTTATAATTTTTGCACAAAGTTTTAAATGTGACTTTATATGGTTTTTCTTAGATAATGAGCTATAATTTTATAAAAAATAATAAATTTTATATTTCCGATGGAGAAACTACCGATTTTTTGTTTGTATGGAAAGCGATGCACCCTAATGTAAATACGCAATTTGAATGAAACAGTAATTCAATAAAGTCCCGTGTTAGAGAGAGGAGATTAGCGGGATTATTTGTTTTACCAGTGTGATTCTAGACGTCACCAGTCTGATTCGCTGCTAGGCAAAGCGTTATTTAGGCCCGACTTTCATCCCTTTCCATTTACCGATAATTGTAAGGTCGCAAGGGAATGCCAGTCAAAATGGTCCAGCGCGGTTTTCGCAATGTGCAAAATTTTTTCATATACATTTTATAAATAAATTTTTTATAAAAATGTAGGTCATACTACCACTTTTTGAACTTTTTAAACAGAAATACATACATATTTCGGGTTCGCAGTTTATACTACTTATATTATGATTTTTCATAATTCTTCGTGATAATGGTCTTGGCACTTTCTTCCGTATGTGGAACAAAAACTAAACCCCTGCAAATTTTGAAAAAAAGTTTATTATGTTTCTTGAGATTGATTCATATGTTTTTTTTTTGTTGTAGTGTGAGTTATATTTGGCATGTGAAAAATAATAGGGACACGACACATTTTGACCAGTTTCAATTATTTTTATTATTTATTATTTTATAAAACTACAGGTCATTATCTAACAAAAAACATATAAATTCAAGTTCCAAACTTTGTAGACAAATTACGAAAATTAAAAAAAAATTACAACAAACTTTTTATTAAGAATTTTTAGAAAACTTCTAAGTATGCGGTTTTATAGCCCCTTAAATTCTATCTTAATGAAGTCCTAGTTTCAAGTGCCTAAGAATTCGCGTTGATTTTTGATATTTTTTTTTGCCGATGGTCTTATTATTTTCATCCATACAAAAAAAGTGGCACATATGTATATACTTTGTATGGAAGAAAATGCGTGACACTGTCAGCATTTCAAAAAAAAAAAGTATCATAAACCAACGGGAATTTTTAGCTACTTGAAACTTGCACTTTATTTTTAGAATTTAATTTTGAAATGTAGGACGAGAACGAGAGTTCTGCTGACGCAAGCGACAGGTAATAATAATTTTACGATAATCTTTCAGAATAGTTTTGTACGCGAAAGTGTTGCCAACATTTATAAAAAGGATGCACATCGTGTACGTTGGTGAGGTGGGATACTTTAAAATTTTCACATTGCTGTTAAAAAATGTATAGAAAGTACCTGTTCTGCAATTTATTGAATACTCGTATTAGCCTCATTAGAAACTCATATATTCTTCACCCAATGCCCTACTCATAACAGTTGTATTCATTTCCGCTATTTCGTTCACAGAGTTCCGGTGGTGTTGTCACATTAGTCGCACAGTATCGGCCCGAGGAGTACAATCGCTTTGAGGCGCGCATACAGGAGCTGAAACAGCAGGCTGCATTGTCGGCCGGCGGTACTGGCACACTGTTGCGCACCTCTCAAAAGCGTTCACTGTACGTGCGTGCGCTCTTCGATTACGATCCCAATCGTGATGATGGGCTACCATCGCGCGGTCTACCCTTCCGCCATGGCGACATACTACACGTGACAAATGCTTCCGATGATGAATGGTGGCAGGCACGTCGCGTGCTGGGCGACAGTGAAGACGAACAAATCGGTATTGTGCCATCGAAACGACGATGGGAACGAAAGATGCGTGCACGCGATCGTAGTGTTAAGTTTCAGGGTCACGCTGCAGCCAACAATAACCTGGACAAGGTCAGTAATGAGGTACAGTAGCGCTTGATCGGTTGAAGTAGCCGTAGTTGTTGTAGTAATATGGTATTTCAATTAATAAACATAATTTTTTTACTTCTTTTTTTGTGACACATTGCGCGCGTACTTTCAAGCAGCAATCGACGCTGGATCGTAAGAAGAAGAATTTCACGTTTTCACGGAAATTTCCGTTCATGAAGAGTCGCGACGAGAAATTGGGAGAAGATGGCAGTGATCAAGAGCGTAAGTAGTAATAAGGAAGTGTGTGAAACGTGAGTGTTTTTATAAAATGTGAAATTAAATGTATGGATTTATGCGCGTAAGCGTCTGCGTGCGTGTGTGGGCGTTTTTGTATATTAGCGCTTATGTAGTGAAGTTAGCTGCGTGATAGGCTTTTAATAAAATAAACACAATATACAATTCTCAACTGCCCTTTGTTAGTAATTTTATAATGCAGGCTTTAAAGTATCTCCCCTTTTCAGGCAGTCTGAAGCTCGCCTTCAGGCGCTGCGGTTATTCTTCTAGACCGCCCCTATATTGACTTTTTTTTAATAACGTTGGTTTGCTTACGTAAATGAATACTTTTTTCCTTTCCTTTTGTTTTGCTTATGCTTTTTGTTAGTTTGTTACCATTATTATTAAAATTAATTAGTTTATGCGTTTAATTTGTACATTATGTTTGTGTTTTCTTGTTATGTTATTGCATAATTTTAATATAATTTTTAATTTGTATATTTTTTGCTTTTACATGAAAATCACGAACACACAATACTACTTACCATCACGAACAAACAAAAAAAAAAACGTATAAAAACCGTATATCTTTTGTGGCGTCCAACATCATCTACAACCATCAACATACATCGACCTCGTCCTCCGTCCGTCAAAACAACTACTATTTATTTTTGATCGTTCATCTATCTCTCCGTTCATTCATTACTTACTTACATGTGTATACATACAATTCGGAATCTAATGGCATACAATATGCAATTATTAATAATTACAAAAAAAAATACGGTAATCGCTTGTTTGTTATACTCACAACTGGCACACTCTGGCTCTTTACTATACGGGGCATATCCGTTGTCTCCGTCCTCATCATTGCCATCAACGCCGCTTGGCCCTTTGCTCGGGCATAATTGCTCTACCATCATCACTGCGCGTTGCACATATGCGCATGTATGCGTGCCTGTGTACAGCAGCCAATGGAGTTGTAAACAGCAATAGTGAACTTGATGTTAACAGTGTTAACAACAATGATTCAAGTGAACCGCAACGTAAGTTTTAAACCCATTTTTATTCTAGACGTTGATTTACTATATAATTTATACTACATATGTATTTACTTAGGATGATAACATTTATGAAAAAATTGGTAATATTAGTAGGAAATAACAAAAATTACTTTGGATGAGGTTAAGTGTAAAAAAATACTATTTTAAAAAACAATACTTTTACTAATTTGGTTGTAGCGTTCTCATGAAATTCTATCTAATTTGTTGTAATCACTTACTTTGAAGTCGCCAAGTATTAATGGAAAAAGTTACATACATACATGCATAATTATATAGTTATTTTGATCTTGCTGGCATTCGGTTATTTGGTTAAATGATAACTATTCTTTAGGGAGCTTTATTGTTGGAGATTGAAAATGGAGATTTCCCGATGACAATGAAGACCCAGATCTCAAATCCATAGTAATAACTAGAGATCGTACTTGAGCAAAATAAAATAGCGAAATAGGCACTTAAACTCGTAAAAAGGGTACTGAAAATCAAAAAATAGTCAAAAAGACACATTTATTTTAGAAATGCTTATTTTACAAGAAAAACCAGGGGACCATTTCTTAATCTGTGAAAGCGTGAAGTGAAAACATTTTTCTACTACTACGATTCTGTTTTTAAACGAAATTTGATTTGTCAAAAAGTTTCCTCTGTTTTTATAAAGTTGGGCGTTTTGCTTAAAAACATATACCAAAATTCATAAAAAATAAATAAACTTTAACTGCTATATAATTCGAAAATCCGTATTCTTTTTATAAAGGATATCATCTTTTACTCACAATAATTTACCAAATAATTACTTGCTAGATGTTTATGGAAACCCTTTAATGATGGAGAATCGTTTAAATTACTAGAAATTTTTAAGCAAAAATACACGCGGCTTCAGTGATCCTATAAAAGTTCAAGAGTGCCGTTAATTTCTTCATGATCCCTCCGATTAAAAAAATAATAATCGAAAATGGTTAGTGTTATTTTCCCCCAAAAATAAAGTATACCATTAAGCTCAGCTCAATGATTTCTACCGGTCCTTAATATCTCCAAATCGTCGTTGGCTGAAAAAGGGTATTGAGTTTTTCCAACCCAGTTTGGCTTCTATAAGCCGCTTCTGAATCTAATCCAAAATATTTAAACATTGTTTACACTGATATTTTTATACATATGTATGTATACGAATTTTTCGCTGCACTATTTTCGAATATGGGCTTCTATTTTAAATATTAACGTTTTTTTTTTAATTTTAATTAAGTTATAGTCACGTAAAGGCAAAAAAGAAAAATCAAATAATATTCACATTCAATTTTTCCCTTTTTTGCCTTTACTGATTATATCTACCCAAATTAAAATTAAAAAAAAAATCTTTGAAAAATAAAATTTTAATATTTTTTTTTTATAAAATGATGTGGGGAGTTGCAATTCGATGAAATCCATCATATAAAACAAAAAGTGAATTTTGATCTTTTTATTAGTTTCAGCGATGATTTTGTTTCGTCTTTTTGCATTTCAGGTGATGATTTGTTTTTTTTTTGAAATCCAGCAATATATTATTCTCTAATTGAGGCGACTCAAAAGTCATTTCGTATGAATTCGATTTTAGTTTGCTATTTATTCCTCACAAATTTAAAACCTACTTTTAGAGGGCAAAATTAATATCCTGAAGGAGATCATTTCCTTTTTCTTATGCGGCTTGCGGCATTCTAATTTCAATTTAAGAAGATGCCAAATTTCTCAATACTATTTTTTGTTTACCAGTGCATCTAATTCCTCAGATATTTTTTTATATTAAAAATGACCTTCAAGAATCTCTTTCCATTGTATCAACATTCTTCAGTTTAATATTCTTCATTGTAGCTATTCCTGTCTCATGTGGTTTGCAAACCTATCGTTGAACTCGTTTGTTTTTCAATTTGAAATTTGAAAGTAGTATTGTGGAAGTGAAGTGTCGAGGTATGCATTATTTTCCAATTGATTACTTGGTGGCTTTATAAGTAGATCTTTTCCAAATTGAAACTGAAACTAGATTTAATATTGTCAAGCACTATGCCAGCTGTTGAATATTTAGTAATCTCTAACAAAATTATGAGCTGCTGGCAAATTCAGCGCACTTTTTTACGCACTATCGATTTTTTCGATAACAAAATTTGGTTTACTGGGTATACAAGAATATGCACCTACTCATTGATTTGTCGGGTTAAGGATTACTAGTAAAAAATATCAAATGTACTGGTACAAAATCATACCGCCAATCATAGAGCATATGACACAAAAAAAAAGAAAAAAGAAAATGCTCTTATAAAATAAAACATTATTGTGTAGTTTTTTTGGTATCGTCTAAACGCGCGCGCACACTGCAAATCTACAACTTCAACACACGCATAAGACATTTTGTATCACATTCGTGCTACATACATATGTATATGTAGTACATACAAAAAAAAAAAAACACCTGCGGACCGACTAGAAGCAATACTTTTTCAATTGACCGTTAATTACTCTTCAATTAATTCTCTTTACTTTTTTATTCCACTTGATTTTCTTCTGTTGAAAACTTTTAATTGCATAGTACATTTATTTACAATTCTATCTCTCAGCTTCATTTAAAAATCAATTTCCCATGTATGTAGTACTCAAAACGATATCCATTGTTCTACTTAAATAACGTGAAGGCGTTATTCGAAATTGATTCTTCTCAAATAAAAATAAAATTTAAACTACTTATGCCAGTGAAAAAAATAAAACAAATCTGTGCAACTAAGCAGACTGTGTATTAATCTTGAAACATTCAATAATTTGCTGCTTAAACATTATACCCTTTACACATTACATATTGAATGAAAACAACAGCTACAAAATTTTCAAATTTAAACTATTCTCGATACTCAAACTTCACTGCAACCCAACATTTAACTATTTCCAGCAGCAACATATGATGTATGTATGTATCTACAGTATCGGTCATATCTATAGCACGCCATTTCAAAGTGATATTGTGGGCAACTTATGTTCATTAATTTATTTTTGAGAATTTTCAATTAAAATACAGTTCTTTCTCTAACAAACCCCATATAAATCCAAGTTTAACAATTTGTAGAAAACTTCAAAAAAGTGCAACAAATTTTAACCTAAATTTCAAACTTTTTTCTCGGAAGTGTTTGAATTTTTCTGAATACACAGTTTTATAGCCCAATGAATTTTAGTCTGATAATGTGAAAGTTTCAAGTGACTGAAATTTACCGTTGATTTTTTAGAATTTTTTTCGCCAAAGGTGTTGCGGTTTTCATCCATATACAAATAAATTGAGTTTATTCATTATATGAAAGCCAATGCCACAAAAAAATTCTAAAAAATTAACGGTAATTCGTAGCCACTTGAAATTTGCACATTAGCAGACTAAAATTGCAGTGGCTAAAAAACTGTGTACTCAACAAAATTCTAACACTTCCGAGAAAAAAGTTTGAAACTTAGGTGAAAATTTGTTGCACTTTTTTAAAGTTTTCTACAAATTGTTAAACTTGGGTTTATATGGGGTTTGTTAGAGAAGAACTGTATTTTAATTGAAAATTCTCAAAAATAAATTAATGAACATAAGTTGCCCACAATATCACTTTGAAATGGCGTGCTATAGATATGACCGATACTGTATGTATGCTGGTCAAGCAATCTACTCTATACATACATACATGTCTAGTACATATGTACATCTTTCCCATTACCCTACAATACTATTTTTTCTTCCCTTCAACCCATTCACCACTCTTACTCTTTTGTGTTTTTTTCTACTACTGCTGCTGTTCTTTTTTAACTGAAAGAAATCTCTTCTTAATTCTTTAATTTTCTAGCTTTTATGCTTTGCTACACACAAGACGATGCCAATGCTGAAGGAGGTATGTACCAGTTACTTTACTGTTGTTTAACCATTTACCACATACTTACTACTACATGCATATATAAATATGTTAATATACTATACTCTGTACAACTCTTATCTCTACAACAAACTACTTACCACTTATTAACGTACCATTAACTGTAGTTCACATATTTGCTCATTTTCATTTGATTACTCTTGGTTATTATAGTTCGTTAATTGTATTTTGTTTTTTTTTTTTTTTTTGTTTTTAATTCCTTTATCCAATCACTTATTTAAATACATACATACTTACATACATGTATGTTCTTATAAAAATATAGACTCATCTATTTTTCTTATGGCTATTTGAAACTCGTGTAGGCTTTCATTCACTCGCCCATAGAGTAGCGCTTATAACATTCTTTAATACATAACATGTACAGTCATGGTGAAACTAATCCACCACCCAAAATAAGTTTTAGTTGAAAAAAGAGAGTATGTATTTGATCAGCATTTGTCATACATACTTTACTATTATTAGATTTTTATAAGTACTTGTACTTACATACATACATATACGTTTATTATATTATGCAAGTGTCAATATTTACAAAAAGCTCTCAAATTATGTATAAAAAAATTTGTTTATGATTTTGTTTTTAATTTAGCTATCCCTTTATTTCATGAATTTCTTTATTTAAAATGAAAACGCCAGGTAGGAATTTAATTTTTATTGGTTAAATAATAATTATACATGTGTATGTAAATCTATTCGATTATTGAGGTATGCCGTTTGTAAAAAGAAAATGCTCAAACTTTTGCAGACAAACTAAAAATTAAAATCATTGAGACCTCAATGAGACCTAAAATCATATGGACCTCAGTAAGCATTTTTGTTCATAGCAACTTCAATTCAAACTCAAAACATTTTTTTTGATAAATATGTACAGTGTCGACCACTTGCATAGTGCATTTAGTCTCTAAATTGACATTTTCGTTTAAATTTTTCTCTAGAATGTCAAATGTTGTTTACCTATTTTGACATTTTAGAGTGCAAAACCAACAACAAAATATAAACAGCTTCTTATTTTCGCTCTGGTTTCTATTATCGATTCAATGTACCTTGGTTATCAACTGATTTTTCAAGCATGTACATATGTATGTCTGTGGAAAATTTCACATATTACCCTAAGGTACGACACCTTGATTAATTTATGGGTTGTATCTTTTTTCTTTTTTCCACTTAGTTTTAGCTAGTGTTTTCAATCGGATTCACATCAGGCTACGGTGAGAGCCAATCTAATGAGGTTACGCCGTTTTCCTTTTTCCAACTGCTACACAAGCGACTTCGATGTTTGGTTCTGTTGATTGTACAAGTCCACGTCGTTATATCGTGGTCATGAAGTTGGCATCGAAATTATTCGTGAACATTATTAGTTTGGCAATTCCTTCTTTTATGAAGCATCTCCAAGTAGGAACTTTTTCTGTACATTTTACATGGCGATGAAGCTACTTAGGGAATCAGACGAGCTAAGCTTGGCTGAAACTATCATAACATTAATGTCTCTAAGCGAGGAACGGACCTCAGCCTCAATAACATTAATAAACAGTAGCTTATCGACACCTGAGTAGAAGATCGACCTATCTCTGCAGGCAGTTCTAAAACGCCTTAACTCAGAAAATTTTACAAGAACGCCCTATTTCAGCTGCCGCCTCAAAAACGCTCTCTATCAACATAATTTCAATATATTTTCAGTTAGTATAGTGCGTTTTTGCAAAAAAAAATTCTGAGATAAGGCGTTATTCAGTCAAATTCTGAGATAGGGCGTTCTTCACCCCAATTTTGAAGCGATTCGTTCTTGACCCATTTTCTAAGATAGGGCGTTTTCGAACCGGCCGCCAAGATCGGTCGATCTTCCACTCAGCCGTCGATATGTCTAATAGAAATGTATCTGGCAAAATTGTAACATAGAGTGCCGCTACTAAGCGCATTAAAATAAACCTAGGTAGAAAATCATTTTAACAGTACGTAGTTCGGTAGTTTCGTGAAGAGATTTCATAGCGTTCGGGTTACTCCTCTGGGAAAGTTTGAGTATAACAAAATTCTCAATTCATCAAAAATTTTGGTTGATGTAAAAAAGCATACAGACGTGGTGTATGGTATCGGAATGGAACTTACATATTTAATTGCTACCCGGGCGTTGTGTTCTCCTCCATCAAAACCTGAATCTGTAATTAGAATAAAAGTTTTATTTTAAGTTTTGTTTTAATTTCATGCATCTCACATTTTTCTATTAGTGCATATATCTAAAGAAATTGTAAATATACATATGAATGATACATATTTTAATTATTTATTCATTTAATATACATACATATGTACATACATACATAACGTTGTACTCAAGAGACTATATTTTTTAATTACTAAATACAAAAATTAAGCCTTCAAGGTGGTTCAAGTCATTTCCTACCTCTTGGGCCGGTTACTTGTAACTGAATGCACCTGTAAATCTTTTTATTACCATCATAAACTAATGACAAAGCCTTTTAACTTACGCGCTCAAATACATACAGATAACTGATCATTTAAGCGCAAAGACATGATTTAACTTAGACCATATCCAAAATTATTGCCACAAATATAATTATTTTTTTTTTTCAATGCTAACAGATAAATTTCAATTTATGCATATTTGATTCAAAGTATTAGTAATAAATATACTTATGTACATACATACATAGCATTTCCAAAGTCGTATGCATTTCATAGTTTCTCAGTGAATCAAACACACACACACACATAACGTACAGTGTACACTTTACCACTCCCGCGTCCATATCCCAGACCTTGCGCCAAAAATTCAAATATATTCAGATATTGTTTGCAACTTTATTTATTTGTTTCTAATAAAAATGTCATCGAAATTTCTAACCTTTTAATCAGTAGCTTTAGAAAATTTTCGCGTATGCAGTTTTGTAGACCATTCAATTGTAGTCTAATAAAGTACAAGTTTTAATTCGATAAAAATTACCGTTGATTTTATTTTTTATTTTTTTTTGGTGGATGGTGTTGCGCATTTTCTTCCATATAAAAATAGATTTTGATCATCAACGGTAGTTTCTAGCGACTTGAAACGTGCACTTTATTAAACTGAAATTGAATGGTCTACAAAACTGCATATCCGAAAACTTTCTACGAATTGAAAAGTTTGAAATTTTGATAACAATTTTTAAGTTTGATTAACTTTTGTAAATTTTGTGAAAGCGTTGAAATTTTTATTTATATGGTTTCGGTTATAAATTGAATTATATTGTAAATGAAAATTATTAAAACTAAATAGATAAACAAAAGATGCAAACAATATCAATTTGAATTTTGTTGCTAAATCTCTGACCATAGCTGTATAAGTTATATTCTTAGAATTTGTGTGCAGTCTCAGTTAGGCAAAGAACATTCCAACTTTCTTATACACAAATTCAAAACAAAAACAAACCATTCATTTGTGCGCTGGCTGTCGCGTGTTATTGTTTTTTTTTTACGAACAAAATTCAAGCCAAGTCAGATTTTATGACAAAATTTATTACACATTTTAGTTCATGTACATTAGACCGTACCAAACAAAAAAGTTCGCCGTTAATCGCTAAGTATTTGAAAGGAAATTTTTCTTCATATCTTCGGCATTTACAGTCGGATCTTAAAGTATGATATATCGATGTTCTTGCCTCGAGGTGACAATTTTTGTGTGTGACAAAGTTCATTGACCTCAAGTTCGCCGTTTTGGCACATACCAACCAAGCCTCCGTTCTTATCACTCTATAGTGCCGCCCTAATGACAGTAAATTAAAGCTCGCCAAAAACCATTAAACCTTTGCTAAGGAAGTATTTTGATTATTCTAGTAGAACTACTTACAAAACAAAAAATTGTTTGCCGGATGTAGGTGTCACCGAAAATGTGACCGACCCCAGCGGCCAAATAAATTTTTTTTTTCGAAATTGGCTTTCAAAAATACTTTAGTCTGAACGGTGTACGACGAACTTTTTTTAGTTCGCTTCTAAGGTGATACGGTATAATGTACATAGGTATTTAATTCTACATCCGTTTGCTATAAAAAAAATCGGCAAACATTTAATAGCCCACACACATCCACCCCTGCTCCCTGCTCCTCTGCTTAGCTTCCTATCGTTCTGCTGCATTTACTATGTGCGAGATCACAAACGTCAATGCTTTTCGCTTGGCAGCTGCCGAATTGCAGATTTTTGGTTGGTTGTTGTTGTTGTTTTAATTTCTCTTAGTTTTTTTTTTCTTAGAATGTGCTTGTTTTTTTTTTTTAGACTGTATTTTTTCGCAAGTATTTAACTGGCAAAACTAAACAAAAGCAAGACATAGTCTTTGTATATTTGTACAAATGAGAGCTGCCATTTGGAATTGGTTCAGCAAAACGCCCATATATATGTATGTGACGTAAAAGCATGAACGAGTTATTACCTTTAGTATTAATTTAAAATGTGAAATGGATTTCCTGGGTATGTGAAATGTGTCCTGAGTGAATGATTTTTGAAAGTTGTGCTCGATGCGGCTTTATCAGTCATCAAGAGATGGATCTACATACCTCCGAAATTTGAGGAAATTTATGTGCCTTAAAAGTTGAGAAAAATAGTTGATGCAACAGTTCACATATGTATAGAACTAGCTAAAGAAGCAGTCTTTGTATACATACGAGTACTTTTGTTAAAAAAATCTAGAATTATTATATTTTCTGTATATTGTTTTATATGGAAGACAATCCACGACCAGATTGCCTACATTTCTATATGTACGTATAGGTAAGAGGAAACATAACGGAATTGTACGCTATACATATCTGAGCTGTTCAATTAAAGTAGCCTAAGTCAGGAGAGGCCCTTTCCCCTTTAAAGCAACATTTCATTGGTTCCCAAACAATATTTTAACGTTCAACTATCCGTAGGTGCAGCTCAAGGTGCTCTTTTAATAGAAGCTTAATAAAAATATGAAAATTTTAAAGTGAAACTGATTATTTTTTAATTCAAAACCAAACCTTCTAAAGTCACTTAAGCTACTTCAATTGAACGGCACAGATATGTACATACATATGTATGTGAGGTCATTTCTGGATATGTAGCTCTACCTATCTACATAGGGGCCTATCAATTCTCCGCTCTAGACTTCAAAATAAGATGCATAGTTACGCTATTTCCGATCATATTTTGAAAATGAAATCGTGAAGCAATTTTGTTTCTTAAGTTTTTAAGTGATTCATTTTTTTTTTACTTGGAGTTATGATTTTTTAAGCTTTTGATTGTGTTTTGTGCACTTTTGTGATATAGGCAAGCTTTCCGGAAATGTATTTGTGAATTTGTCTAGGTACTGCTCTGTGCACTTCGATATTATCATTTTGGTTACTATCCTTTCTTCTTTTGTTTTGTCTGTTTGTAGGCTGAAGCATCTGTACTTATGCTACAACGTCTGTTATCCCTCCGAATATAACACCCTTGTTCCCTCCCCTCCGCCCAAGAGCCCACAATTCCGCGCAAAATTTTATACGAATCCAGCATATCATATTAACTTACTCAGAAATCGATTTGTTAAACTCCTATAATGCCAAAAATTACCGCTAGAACACCTAAAAGTATGCAGTTTCTGTTGGAAGCTTTTCATCTGAAATTGTCGCCTAAAAGGCATTATTTTTACTTACATCTTTGAGGCGTCTTTTTTCATCAAAACGGTGTGTTTTGCTTATCGAAGTTTAGCGTATTGTATTTCTGCAAAATTTTCAAATATTTAGGTATCCTGAAAACATACATTAGCTACTACATAGAGTATTGTCTGGTCCTCATGCTAGTTCAGCTCTGCATACCATTAAAGGCCTGCTGCTGTATACATTCCCTCATACACTAAATATATATAAACACCAACGTCACTCGATTAGCGACGAGGCATTCTCAGCGAATACTCTATCCACTTCAGTTTTTTTTTTTTAAATTTTCAGTTAAGTATTTAATTGCTTTAATGGGTTCGTTTACGTTTTCATCTTACGCCGTTTGTGTCTATCCTTTCGTTGCCTACCTATGTACCCCCTGTACCTCTTGTGCGTTTATTTCCAGCCTTTATTAGTATCCCTTACCATTTCGTTGCAAGTTCATCATTTATTTGCAATTTATGTAGTATTCGAAATTTGTACGACAAAAAAAACATCAAAACATGCATAATTAGTTATGTCAACATCTATACAATTTGGTTTCAAAATTTTAATTCATAAATAGATACACTGAAATTTGAATTGAAATAATCTACACCGTCAATGTACAAAAATAATAGATTTTCTTTTTCTTTTGAATTTTGTCGTATTTTCTGCTCCTACTACTCTACCACCTCTACTTTTACTACCTACTCCACTACCTACTACTACTACTACTACTACTATGTATTACTACTCTGCTACTATTTCAACTGCTCTTGTTCGCAAATCTACTCTTCTAAATCGATATCGATTAATTGATTGATTGATTGTAATGTTTTAATTCGAAAAAATCTCGTTATTGACAAATGGCCAAACCAAACCACAAATCACAAACCGATACAAAAAATGAAATCGAATGCGAAAATGAAATTGAAACCGAAATCACATTGAATGAATACGCCCGATATGGAATGCATATTTATCTGCGTTCAACAATAATAACTTCTACTACTACTACTACTACTACTTCTACTACTTTCTCGTGCCACTACTACCAACCATCAAAAAATACGAAAACCGCCATCATCACAACGACTACAACAACAACCACTACTATTTTAACCACCACCAACCAAACAACCGTTTGATCAACCAACAAATCAACAAACCAATGAACCAACAACGAACACCTGCTCTACACCAAAAAGCCGAAATAATCTACCGTGTGGAGTTGCCAGACATGGAGCAGATAACACTAATCTATTTGGAGAATAGTGATGCTGACTATCGTAAGTTCAGCGGCTGAAGTAACTGAGAATTACAAAAAAAAAAAAATTAAAATAAAAATTAAAGCGTGCCAACATAAAAAATGTTTTAAATAAAATAGTAATGTTAAAAAAGCAGCTCTTAATTATCAAGTGAAACACTTAAAACAATTGCCGTTAAAAGTTAGTTTATTTAAGCAACGAAAAAGTATTATATTTTAGTTTTTGTGAAGAGTAAAACATAAAAATATTAAAGACAAATCAATTTAATTGAAAACGTAGTATCAGAGTTAAGCATACATTAAAAAGAAAGTATTGAAAATTACAGTATTTTGTTCTCTTAATTTCAATATTCATTTGTCTTAAAGCGTCTACTTTCTGGTTTGTTTCGTTCGTGCGTTCGTTCGTTCATTCGTTCGTCCGATTGTGCATTTCTTAATATGTTTCGTTTACTTTCTCTAACTCCTTCACTAATTACACGTACACACACCCACACATACACACTTGTTTTGCCGCCCTATGTTTCGTTTCAGCGCAACGCCTTAATAATAGTCACACAAATTGTTCTATACCCACACTGTTCTACTGGATATTTTAATACTTACTACATTTCGTTACGTTACATTGCGTTGCGTTATGTTTATGAAAAACGACCTATATTACGTTATCCTTACGTTGGCTTGTTTTACATTTGAAATATTGAGCTTGTTGATTGATATTCTTGATTGTTATTAAGTTTTGTTTTCTTAAAAAGTATATTGAGTTGTAGTAGGTACGATTATCTTAATGTACTCCTGTCTAACTCACCAACAATCCGATTGAATTAGAGAATTGTTTGTTTCCCGTATGCGCCCAAGGAAAAGCTTGTTTTTTTGCCGACTATTTTAGTCGCATTTTTGCCGCCTATTAGCATCTAGGACACAGAAATGTTGAAGAACAAAATTTTTTTTATCAAATTGGTCCCTTTTTTCTTACATTTTCATATTTTATCTTGCCCCTTTTCTTTACTTTGGCTGTTGACTTAGTACATACTTAGCTTTCGTCTTTAGTTGTACTATAGAATTTTTGAACTAAGTTGTGCTTTCAAGTAATTTTTCTGTTTTTTTTCGTCTTTCACTTCACTTTCACGTTTTTTTTGGTACAGTTCTCAACTAGTTCTTATGTTTGTTTGTTGGTATTGTTCTCCTTTTGTTCTCTTGCTCTTTGTTCGTAGCCACACACACACAATTCCTTCTACCTTGCCACGACCCCACCATTTCCAACATCACTGTCACCGGAACGCTTGTGTTTCGTACACACCCTACCCTGTACACACATACATACATACATATCTGCATACACTTACACCCACCCACCCATTGAATATGTAGTTGAAATGCGAATGATTTTTAACTTTGAATTTTGTGTGCCAAATGCAATCCGTAGCGACAAAACAATGGATTTTTTGCCTAGCATTTAGGCTTATCACCTGTCCTTTTTGTTTTGAAAATCCATCCATTTGTTGTCGCATTCGCTCGTTAGTAGTTCGTATGCCGTAGTGTTCTAGCAACCCTTTTAGCCATATTTTATTTAGGTTCTGAACGCATCTACCTACCATCACCCAACAAAACCGTAGAACAATCGCATTTTTGACATTCTACACTTGGTTTATTTTTTTCCGAATTTCAGTTAGTTCTACATTCTGTTATGATTTGGTTTATGTATGTAAGTGCGGATTGTATATGGATATATAATTTGGTCTGTTGTTGTTGTGCTACTGGATTTTTTGTTTGCGTAAAAAGTATTTTATAATCTTGAATACTGTCTTCCTGATACTTTTCTAATTTCTCCTCTTTGCAAATAAAAGTCATTTAAAACCATTCCTTGAATTAATTAGATTAGATATGATAGACATTATAAACTCCAAAAGTCAAAAGAGTTACTCGTATGCTTTTAAATTACATAAAATACATATAGAAAAATTATTAACTTTGTGACTTTAGAAGCCTAATTTTATCAAGTTATCACAGTTTTCCCCTCAACCTTATACCATAACAACTGAAATAAGCGAAATATGCGAGTATTTGGGTATCACATTCGTAAAATTTTGACGTCAAATAGAGGACTTACTCATACCATTTGCTGTTTGAAAAATATTTGCCAAAGCTCTGCGACAAATGTGACCATCTCAGAATTTATTCAGCGTATTCCGCTCCTTTGGACCTGTGTTCGATTCCGCGCAAAATCGAAATTAATGTCAAAGCTCCGAGTGTATTTCTGGCATGAAAAAAATTCTCATAAAAAGCCTCCGTTCGGAGGCGGAGGACCCTCAATTTGTGTTATATCCAAAATATTATTCTATGACAAGGCGCTTATTCCAAGCGATTTACTTATCACACAAAGACAAGTTATATTTATATCAATTAAAGTGCTCGACATTTCCGATTTAAGATTGAGTAGATCACTTTTGATATATTTGCGCGGAAAGAAAGAGAACGCTTTAGAGCAGTGATGGGCAGCGTTGTGCACTTGCTGCCAACGCTGCCCATGCCTGGTTTAGAGTTTTAAACTCTCAACGAATATGCGCTCCAGAGAACTTCATTATTGCATTTTTCTGTTGCGGGTCAGAGAAGGTCGAGAACTCTCTCCAGACTCAAAAACTAAGAAGTACCAGAAGATATTATTTTCGAGATGGAAATTCAGTCGATTGGGTATTTCGACCTCAGGCTGGTATAATTGATCCAAAGGACTTGAAGGATCGCGCAATTCTGTGTCCAAAAAATTAGCACTGTACAATAATTAATAAAAAATTGGTTAGTATGTTGCCCAGAGAAGAAAGTGTTTACTATACTTTATTCAAATTTTTAAAATTTGTGCAAAACTCAGGAAAATTTAATAAATTTCAACTTTTTAATTATATATTTCTAGAAATTCAGGACAATTCAATAAATTTGCAACTTTCTCATTATTTTTTTAAACGTTTTAATTTTAAATTTAAATTTTAGTATAATAAGTGCAATTTTGAAGTTGCAATAAAACCCCGCTGATTTGCTGACGGTGTGCCAATACTTTTTTCCGGCAGTGTACTTAAAAAAGTCCAACTGTATGAAATAGCAATTTTTTATTTTATTTTTTTTGTTCGTAGGAGAGGGAAATGCTTTATGCACTGGCCGGGGGCGCTAGTCTCTATACTACCTTCCCCGAGTGTTGGACTCTCACCGAAGCGTGTTGGGCTACCCACTAAAACCCAAACTCCCACCGCCCGCGCAAGAATACCGCATCTGGCACCGCAATTCTGCATGTCTTCAGAGCGCTGCTAGAGCCTCGGGGCTGCTCTTTTGTAGGGGCGTTTCATTCGGGTGTCCTCAGTAGACATCCGTCCAATGTTTTCTGTAATGCCTTACTAGAAAGTTGTTGCTTACAGGCAGAGTAACCGCCGGTTAGATTTTTGGCATGACATAATATTTAGGGTGCAACAGATGCCAACAATGAATTTCCTAGAAATGTTTAAAGAAGTCTTAAAAAATCGTTGATAGATAGTATCGTTGATAGAAGTATCGAGTACTTTTAAGGATCGAGTATTTTTGAGAGTACTGAGTACTTTCTTTACTATAAATATATACATGTTGGTAGCATTTCAATACTTAGTGTAGATATCTCACAAGCTGCCAGCACTTTATTCGAATTAATATATTGATCCCAAATTACGCCAAATGAATGACTAACTTTTCTGGTCACAAGTATTGTATGTACTTGAAAACTATTGAAACTTCAAATTGGGAACAATAATTTCTGAGTACCGGTAAATGTAAACAAAGCTCAGTACTTTTAAGTCGACACTTAATACGGAGTACTTTGAATCGATCCTGAGTAGGTACATGTATAAAAGTGATGATTGAAACAGAGTATTTTTGAGTACTGAGTACTTTCGAGTTCTTTTGCAAGTACTGAGTACTTTCGAGTTCTTTTAAGTTCTGAGTACTTTCTGGTTCTTTTGTGAGTACTGAGTACTTTGGAGTACTCAGTATCGATACTTTTAAAAATCGGGTGCTGTCGATCCTGTTAAGAATCGAGTTCTGAGTACTTTGGTATCGATACTGCCTAACACTAATATATAGTATTATGGTTTAAAATGTTTAATATTTTTGTAGTTAGGCTTAAGATAGGCAAGATTGTCTGATGTACACAAAGGCATCCAGCTCCATTTTGTTTACACAGTGTGACAGGAAAATTTTATGTGAGATAAGACTAGCCATTTCTAGTGGATTTTGGGTCGCTGAATCCGAATCTGAACTCAGAACTGCTTAGCTTTCTCTAAAAACAATATTACGATATTGCTTTGAATTTCGGTTTGCGGTATTGATAATGATAATATCAAGCTTATTATGCTTGTTTCCGAACATTTTGTGACCGGAAAATTTTGTTACCAAAAAATTACACCACTTCTTGTAATCGCAATTCTAAGTACCTTGGTAACGCTTTAATTTATTCAGCTATGAGGTCTTGTAGAAATTCTGGTGTTGCATATTTCACGGGGAAATATTTTGTTCCCTGCTTATGAGATGGTAACAGAATTTGCCAGTGCGCACAATGCGAAAACGGTTTAAAAATTTACAGGAACTTCATTTACCAGTTACAAAATTTTTGTTACCAATACAGAATAGGCCTGTAAGTGTTTACAAAGTAAAAAGCTCTTTTAGTAAATGCACTTTATTAATACATATATGTTTATAAAAAGTCTGAGTTTACATAAAAATGCGCAGTTCTTACTCATGTTTTTTTAATATACCACATATGTACATACATAAATTATTTTTTGTTTCATCAAATGTGTATTGAACCGTTTTATTTATGTAGTATCTGTCTGAAATGTCCCTCTAAAATGTTTTGTCCATCGTTTGCGCTTTGTTGTCTCTGTCGCTCTATTTTTTTCTGTTTTTGTTCCGCCTCTTATAATTAATTATAAATAAATTAGTGTTTGCTCTTTATCAATAAATTAGCAAATTATTATTTGGTTGAATTGTAAAAATTTGAAAATTAAAAACCTATGATTAATTAAATAATTAATATTTTTTAGCAAAGCAGTGAATGCAAGCAAGCAAACAAACAAAAACGCATTAAAATAAAAATTGCGCTATGCAATCGTTGTATTCGATAATGTTGGTAGGGAAAATGATTCGCAAAAACAAAAACCGTAGTAACTTTCTTTCAGTAAATATTTATAAAATTAACTTATAATATCTATATATAAAATAATATAATATTTTTTTTTTTACTTACATACATACAAAATATTAAAGAAATATCGATTGCATATTTTACATTGCAAGCATCGTATCTATTTCGTGCGTTCGTTCATTTCTTCATTACCGCCATGACATCCCGTTTTATGCATATTTTACAGCATCCGAAGAAAATGTGCTATCCTACGAGGCCGTACAACGGCTATCCATTAACTACACACGGCCGGTAATCGTGCTTGGGCCGTTGAAGGATCGCATCAATGACGATTTGATATCCGAGTACCCAGATAAATTTGGCTCCTGTGTACCACGTAAGTATAGTGAAGTTATATTTTAGGTTTGCATATGTACATATGTATGTAAGTATGTATTTATGTATGTATATTTATTTGCTTCGCTTCAGACACGACACGACCGAAACGTGATTACGAGGTAGATGGTCGTGATTATCATTTTGTTTCGTCACGTGAACAAATGGAACGCGATATACAAAATCATCTATTCATCGAAGCGGGACAGTACAATGATAATCTTTACGGTACATCGGTGGCGAGTGTGCGCGAAGTTGCGGAAAAGGGTAAACATTGCATTTTGGATGTATCGGGCAATGCCATAAAGCGGCTACAAGTCGCTCAACTCTATCCAATTGCTATATTTATCAAACCTAAATCGGTGGACTCGATAATGTAAGTGAATGCTGTTATTTTTTAGTAAGTACTAGCTAATACCAAGTCAGTAGAGTAGCTCAGGAGCTAAAAAGCTTTTCTGAGAGTCAAGAGACCTTTGACTCCGCATTCCTTTCTCTTTTCTTCACTATAGCCGCCTTATTATTATTCATAAAAATCGTACATCTTTTAAGGTTCATACCAAATGTGTTTTATTGCAACTTCAAATGCATATTGAAATCCATCTGTAATGCTAATTAATACGTAAAACTACAAACAGCAAAATCTTTCCAGAAGACATGCAGGGAGGCTGAGCATTATTGGGTAAAAGCTTTTTAGAATGGGTACACTTAAGAAGGCCTACCTTAATTATCTTCTGGGCAGCGGCCTTTGCGATGACTGTTATGTAAATTCTTTAACACTTAATCTTAACGCGTATTTGATTTCTGTCCACATTGTTGTAGTTTTATCAAACCGCTTGCGTTGTGTACGGGAAAATCGCCTTATTCCGAACCAAATTTTCACCGAGTGGGGACGTAAGAGAGAAAAAGTGGAGAAGACCAAAATCGTTCACACTGTAAAGTGGAAGAAAATCTAGATTCTCTGCTTGAACGAGTCATGCTTGTATGGTGTTTGGCGAAATAAAAAAGTAGGTTTCACAAACCGCTTGTGTGGTTTTTTTCGCTTTACGTTGTACGAAATATTGTCTCAGAAATCTGAAACAGATACTTCGGAGTGCGAAATATTCGCTTCGAACCTTGTATCCTCAAATAACACAAATAGTTCTATGTCCGTTCGTGTCCCCTAGAGAAGCCGTATATTCCGTTTAAGAGAACCGCAGCAAACCCACTATTCCTCGATTACCGAGCGAAGGCCAAATTAGTCAACCTTCTATTAGTGGCTGCTCTATTCTTATCAACTTGCGAGTGTAGGGTCAAGGGTCAAACCTTGGTTGTTGTTGTCGTAATAACATACAAATTGCATACACACGCTGGAGTGAAAGTCTTTGACCAGATAAAAGTCTGGGTCATTCCGGTAACGTACGCCCGACTGTCATCAGAAGGGTCGAACCTAGATCCTACCGAGCGGTAGTACGCACCTGTTACCACTTGGCTACAGCAGCCGCCATCGCACCATGTTTGTTTTAATTATGTATCAGCTGAAATCAATTAACTGCGGCTATCTTAATAGGAAAGTCTGATTTCGACCGAGTTTTTCGATTCTATGCTATCGATGGCAACTGGTTCAGGTCCTTAGGATAACCCTTGCCTAATTCCAGTGAACGAGTAGATACATATATGTTTTATAACCTTTTGCTTAATAATAATATTTTGGAGTGACCTGCTGCTTATTTATAAAAACCATTATAAAAGCTCATTTTAAAATTCAAACAGCCATGCGAAGAAGGGCGGGAGCACTAATGGATAGCAAACTCGAGCTTATTTTGTGCACAAAATTCATATTTTTTTAATATATTTCACCAGGGAAATGAATCGTCGCATGACAGAGGAGCAAGCGAAGAAAACATACGAACGTGCGATTAAAATGGAACAAGAATTCGGCGAATATTTCACAGGTTACATATAAAACAAAATTTTTACTCCCAATTATATAACAAATATTAATTTTATTTTTCCATTTTTTTTTGTATTTTCGTGTGCAGGAGTTGTCCAAGGTGACACCATCGAAGAGATCTACAGCAAAGTCAAAGCGATGATCTGGTCACAATCGGGACCAATCATTTGGGTACCATCGAAAGAATCTCTATGACCTACAGCCACGACGACATGGACACTGCCGCCTCGAGTACGCTGTCGACCAGTCTCGAGATCAACAACAAATCAACATCAACAGCAAACGCACTGATTTTGAACCATATTGATGGAGCAGGAGCACGATGTCGCCAACGACGTCATAACAACTACAAACCCAGCTGACGATTGAGTATGTATGCAGTTGAAAATCGCAGCATAATAAAGTCTAAAATGGCAATTAAGCAACAACAGCTATAGTTACAGCGAATGAGGCATTGGAGTTGGTGCCATTTGAACGATTATCGAGTATAAACTAAATCACACCACCGCCACCACACTACAGAAGATACCGCCTGGCAAGTTGGTAGTACTCCATCGTATGTGTGCGCGCCTATGTGTATATGACGGTTTGCGTCGTTGGTGTGACAGCGCATTACAGAGAATGAGCAGGAAATTATACAAAACTATAGATGAGAGATGTTGTAGCTAATATAAAAAATAATAATTGTAATAATAAAAACAATAAGGCAGGCTGCGACTCCTACGTACATATATACTGAAGATGGTGCATTTGTTGTTTGTTTGTTACCGCTAGCAATTAAAAATTCGATAATCGATGAATACATTATATATATAGACATAAATATATATATATACTATTATATACATATAAAACTAATTAGAAACGAAAAAATTGTAATGAATTTGAGTATAGCCACTCACCATACAAATTGCAAATACTACATACAGACGGACATCCATACATCTATACAAACTACATACCTGCTTGCATATAACATAAAAATTAAATTAAAGCACATATGAAATACGGAAACTGCGATTAAAATTCATAATTAGATTTAACTAACAAAAAACGTAAAATAATGCGTTGAAGCAAATTCGCTGCAAACACTGAGTAACTAAAAGTTTAGAAGAAAAAATTTACTAAAAATGAGAATACTATAAATACAAAAAAAAAGATGATTTCCAGTGCCGACGAACAAACTCGCTTTAAAATACGCAACGATACTTTGCATGCGAGGTGAATTGTCGTTGAAGTTAGTTGAGCAAATGCATGTAAAAGTACAGTTAAAGTTGAACTAAAGTAGAACGCGGCGTAAAATTAGAAAAGAAAAAAATATATATTGCAATTTAAAAGCGTAGTTAAAGAGGAAAAAATTTCAAATTGTTTTATTAACGTTATAACGTACAATAATTTATTTATATATAAAAAAAGAGAAAATCGTGTAAAGTGTAAGACGTGAATGTTAAAAACTGTAGTTGTCATAAACAGAATTAAAAAAAAAAAACATGCGAGACAAAACTTCAAAGCATTATTATAGTTGCATATAATTACATAAATCTTTAATTGTTTTAATATAAGTGTAAACTTTTCGTCAAATTGTCACAATTTATGTTAATGCAATCGCAGAAGTTGAGACAAACAATTTATTCACTTAGAAGAATATATGTGCTTGTATGTTTTGTTTGCATATTTTTCATACGAGTTTTACCAGCAGCGACAAGAGATATTTTTTTGAATAATATTTGCTATACGTATGCATACTCCATTGTTTATATCCATACATGTACAAGAGATACCACAAAGTACTATATTTATTTCGTTTATAATTTATGCATCCACTATCTAATACCCAGTTGGTTGTGTATTGTGTACAACTAAAACAACAAACAGCAACTCGCCTAAACGCTTCAAACTCTTATAAATGCGCTTCATAAATACAAACATACAAACATTTTCATTCATAGTCAAAAGAGCGCATTTAAATTCGAATATGCTATATATTTATATATATATATATATATAAGTACGTCCACACTATTTGTTTGTTATCCGAGTTTAAGTTATCTTTTCACACTTGACAACCGTGTATTTCTTTCACTACTTTTTATTTTTTTAGTTATAAGCTATGTATTAAATATTTACTTAATTTTATTTTATATTTAACCGCATTGCATTCTCTGCCAACTGGGTACCTAATTTGTTTTCACACTTCCGTATTGGTATTTAATTGTTAGCTGTTGTAAATTATTTTTTTGGACGCAGGTTTTCGCTCACATAGGCGTTGCGGTGTAAATTTTGCTAAAACCTAACGAAACATTGTAGTACAGAAGTAGGTTTAGAATCAATGCGTTGCCGCAAAATGCAACAACAGTCACATTTGTATGTAAAGTACGTGAACTTCATTAGTCCTATTCGTACTACTACTAGTTACTCCATGTATACTACTTACTACTATGACTATTGCTACTTCAACTCTACTTAAAGTGTGGAAGTAAAATTGTATGTAATGTTTTTTTCTACATAGAAGAATATTTAATTTTTGTCATATGTTTCTTTTAAGTTTTACATATTATTTAACATTGTACAAGTTATTACGACAAAACACAGTTATTACAAATAATACAACCAACAACAGAAAAAAATGCAAATTTAACAAAAAAGAAAAGAACAACACAATACTTTTTTCAACGAATATTTAAAATGCGTTAAGTGCAAGAACAAGAAGTATACAATAATACAGAATTTAAGTAAACCATTTAACTTAATTAAATCGTTTCATTTTTATTGAAAAATAACCCAATTGTTTTATTTAATTTCAGTTTTTGCATAACATAAAAGAGCAGCGATAGCACTGTGGGAACGCTAAAATGACAAAAAAAAAAAAACAAAAAACGCCGTCAAATCAAAAACCAACAGACTTCTACATATCGTTACCTTAATTCACAAAGGCCCTAACTAACACTTTTTTCGAAACTGCGTTTTTCTCAGATTTTGGTAGGATATATTAAAATACACCTTCAATAATAATTTTGAAGTGTTAGTTCCAAAAACAACGGAGTTACATGCCACTTTTTAAAAAGCCCTACCTGTTTTGATACTGATTTTATAATGTTTTTGTTGGCCAGGGCCTTTGTGAATTAATATGACGATATATAATGCTGTGCGTTGGGTAACCGCTTGCACGCAAAGCTCATTTAACAGATTCCTTATGTGACAACTCTCATGCAATGCCAAGTATGCATAACTGAGTCTTTACTCATACGCCATGTACATTATGGCGTATAAGTAACTTTATTTCCTGCTCCTATTTCATACAAGAAAGTATTGCACATTTTCATTCAATCATTCACAACTTGTTTATTTTTCCAGCGATTTTCTTAGTCAATAGTTTGATTTTTTTGCAAAAGAACCGGCTTTAATACAAATGAAATAAATTTACAAAAAATATGTTATTTTTTAGTTTTTTTAACCGACTTCACAAAAGGGAGGAGGTCATCAATTCGTCGGAATATATTTTTGAATTTACTTTTTATCTATATTGGCGCATAACTTTGGACCACGTTAATCAATTACTATTAATTTGGTTTAAATTCGATCATTGGATCATGAAGAAATTAACGATAATCTTAAATTTTTATATGAGAATTGAAGTCGGTTTTGTTTCTTGCCTTAAAATTACTTGTTTCCTGTTAAGGTTTCAATTATTATTTTTTTTCATAAAAATGAAAATATTTTGTGGAAAATTACCTAATTTGATCTACAAAAACAATGAAGATCTACAGCTCAAAGTTAAGTTTATGTGTTTCGGATATTCGTGTATAAAGATAAAATCCGGATATCCAGTTAACCGCCGTTCACTTTGTTATCCGGATTATGCATATATTCAAAAAATTCGGATAGAATTTCAGTCCTAGTTTCCACATATTTTCGGTTGTCTACCATCTTCTTCATGTTTGGCACTGTGACCGCCTAAGGGCCAGGTTTTCAGTGCACGGCTGTTGTTTAAACTTTGTTTAAACGCTCGAGCTAGCTATTTCAAACTAAGATTAGCCAATCAAATGTAAGGCAGCTGTTAAATATGAACGCAATTTACCTGATCTAAGTTTAAACTGGCCTTAAACGACTATGACCGAGTCCAACAAAATACGCTTGTCGTTTCTATTCTGTGCCAACTGACGCCAATAGGAAATGTCAAGTGAGGCGAAGCCCTTCTCCACTTGGTCTTTCCATCGCAGAGGAGGCCTGCTTTTTCTTTTGCTACCGCCAAACCGGTTTTCGGGTTGAATACTTTCAGGGGTGGAGCGTTTCTGTCCATTTGAACGACATGGCCAAGCCAGCGTAGCCGATGGATTTTAGATCCCCGCACCATGTCTATATCGTTGCAAAGCTCATATAGTTCATCGTTCCATCATCTGCGGTATTCGTCACCGCCAGCGCGCAATGGTCTTCAGGAATCATTCTCTCGAAAACTTCAAGAGCCGTCTCATCAGATGTTTTTCAAACTCGTAACTGTCAACAGTGTGGTGGGTGCCAAGACCCGTATGCTCTGATTGTTTGCGTGGTGACAGGAGATACTTCGTTTTGTCCTCGGCCACCACCAGACCCATTTGCTTTGCTCCTCTATATAATCCCGAGGAAGCAGAACAGACGTATACCTGAGTGGTTCATTTCTGCGGCTCCTATTCTCTTCGCCCAACATCAGATTAAATAAATTACACGAAAGAGAATCACTCTGTCTGAAACCTCGACACCACTTTTTTCCATGTTTGACGGACGAGGAATTGAACCTGGATCCCGTTGAGTGGTAGTGTGCACCACTTACCACTCGGCTATGGCGGGGTCTACGTTGTCTATTTTTATGCTCACCAACTTCCAGTTTCCGGCTGATGCGAGTTATGCGAGTTACGTATACGCACTGTATCCCTTAAAAAATTGAGTCTTTTAGAGAGTGATGTAGAGTTGCCGCTTATATTTCACTCAACAATTGGACATCACCAGTTATATGTGCTTGGCGACTTTAACTTAAGCAATATTTCTTGGTCGTACTTAGATAACTTAGACTCTCTAGTTTCATCAAATGTATGCAGATCTTTCGAGCAATACTTAGTTGACAACTTCGCTAGCCTAGATCTTCGTCAAGTTAATAGTTATTATAATAAGCTTAATAGAATTTTAGATTTAATTTTCTTATCAAGTAATTTGAATTTTAAACTCAGGGAATGTTACTCGTTAATGTCTTCTGTTGGCCTGCATCATCTTCCTCTAGAATTAGATTTGGAATTTTATGAATTCTTGAATGCCTCTCCTGGAAGTGATATAAATAATTTAAATTTTAACTTTGGTAATTATGCGACTCTTAATAAAATGTTGCTTGATATTGATTGGGACCATCTGCTCCTAAACGAGGATGTAGTCAGTTGCTTTCAACTTTTTAAAACGAAGGTGCATAATCTGTGTCTTAAACATATCCCAGTTTTCTTTAAAAAAAAAGACATAGGCTACCATGGTACAATGCAGAGCTTAAACGACTAAAAAATCGCTGCAATAGATTGTATAAAAAATTTAAGTTATCCAAGAATATATGTACATTATCATGACATGTACAAATCTTGTCTGTTTGATTTTAAGACTCTTGATCAGTTCCTGCATAAAAGCTACGTTAGCAATTTCGAAAAGAATATAAAGACCAAACCCAAAGCTTTCTGGTCTTTCATTAAATCGAAAAAAAATAAATCTAATATTCCATGTTCGATGTTTTATAAAAAAAAAGAATGCTTATAATGCCCAAGATATGTCGAATCTTTTTGCAGACTTTTTTGGCGAAAATTTTGTATCCGAGACTGACACAGTTGACGTTGTTGGCAGCGATGTTTCTGAATGATGTCAGTCGTTCGGTTCTTTGTCATTAACAGAAGAGGATGTTTCAAAGGACATCTTAAACTTTAGGGCATCGACGCAAACAGATGCGGATGGGCTATCTCCTTTTCTGTTCATAAACTGTGTGGCTCTTATTAGACCTTTAACAATAATTTTTAACTTATCCATCTCTTCGGGAACATTCATTAGTGATTGGAAAAAAACATATATTACTCCAATTCTCAAAAGGGAAACAAAAATGATGTCTCGAATTATAGACCAATAGCTAAATTAACCACAGTTGCCAAACTTTTTGAAAGTATTGTCAAGGATAAAATGTGGCACGCTGTCCAGAATGTCATTTGCCCGAACCAGCACGGTTTTGTCAAAGGAAGATCTACCGTCTCAAATCTCACTATCTTTACCGAAGATTGCCTTGCGAGTTTCGAGTCTGGGTACCAAGTCGATACTGCATATACATACCGACTTTTCCAAGGCATTTGACAAGGTCTCACATAAAATTTTGATCGCTAAACTAGCTTGTCTGAATTTCCATTCAAAGTTTCTTGATTGGATTAGCTCTTATTTATACAATAGGCACTGCGCTGTAGCACTGGAAAATACGTTTTCCCGTTACTTCCATGCGAGCTCTGGAGTCTCCCAAGGTAATATTCTTGGCCCCCTTCTGTTTATCATTTTCATTAATGATATAAGTTCCTGTATCTTATTCTAGAAATTTCTAATGTATGCAGACGATCTCAAAGTTTATTCTGTTATAAAAAATGCTGAAGATGCCTTTTCCCTTCAAACTGATCTTAATAGAGTAACGTCCTGGTGTGAGAGAAACTGTCTTAGTGTGAATATTAAGAAGTGTTATCACTTGGCTTATTCCAGAAAGCTGAATACAATTAATACCTCATATACTATAACTGGTTGCCTTCTTAAATCAGTAGTCCAGACCAAAGATTTAGGAATTTACTTCGACTCGAAGTTGACTTTCAATAGCCATATTGATTTCATTATATCTAACTCCAATTCATTGTTAGCCTTTGTTCGCCGTAATAGCTCTGACTTTTCAGATCCATTTACATTAAAAACCCTATACATAGCTTTTGTAAGGTCTCGCCTTGAGTATGCTGCCAATATTTGGCGACCTTTTCATACTGGGCTCATAAACAGAATTGAGCGCGTGCAAAAAACTTTTATTAGGTTTGCATTAAGATCCCTAAATTTTACTGAACCATTACCTTCATACAATTCGCGCTGTTTGCTTATAATTTTAAACTCACTTGAGGATAGGAGAAAATTATCATCTTGCTCGTTTATCTTCAACGTGCTTACTGGGATTGTTGGTTGCCCTGATATCGTACGGAGAATTCCTCTCATTGTTCCGCGAAGAAATTTGCGGCACATGGACATTTTTTATTTGCATTCCTCCAAGTCAACGTATGCTATGAATGCACCGATTTGTCGTGCCCTTAGCGAGATTAATAAACTCAATGATATCGAGGATATTGATATATCGCTTCCCGGAGTGGTGTTAAAAAAGTTAATCTTAAAACTACTCTGATCTTATAATGTAACCTATCTATTAGCTTTAAGTTATACCTTGTTACTTTTTTAGATAGCATAGTCAGTAAGAATTTTGTTTTCTTTGACCGAATTAAATAAATAAATAAATAAATAAATAAATATTAGCTTCCAATTTTGTAAAGCCAAAACCTTGCGTAGTTACCGCCGGAGTATAAAATAAGCAACTGTATTATTTGTATTTTGTGAACGAATTGAATACTTTAAACACGTTTCTAGAAAAAACTCGTTTGTTAAAATCTGAAAGTCTTTTAGTAAATGAGCGATATGCACTCGAAAGTGATTCATTTACGCATATCTACATATGTGTGTATGTATGTACAATTTACGTATGTAAGTAGGTCCGGTT